AACACAACCTACTGTGGATCAGCATAGTTACCTGATAATAGATGAAGCACCTTTGGAAGGTTTAAAAACTGGGGTTGACCTGAAGTCCCCTGACTATGCCCCAAATCCTGCTTCATAGAGGAGGCCCCTGGTTAGGTTCATGGAGTCTGTTTAAATCAGCTCTGACTGAGGATCCCTCATCTCCAGATTAAAAAAAAAAAACAGTTTAATCTGAGAAAATAGCTTCCTAAAACAGGGGCATGATCACTCAAATTCCCAAGCTGGGTAATGGATTTCTGGAATGACTACTAAAATACCTTCCGTGGCCCTCAGAAGTTTTAGAAGTCTCCAAAGTCATGTCAGTTGACTGCTTTCAACAATGTCCCGTTGCCTAGACAATTCACCTGAGGATGTGTGAACCTGTGATTTACATGCCACCATTTTCTATCATCAGTTAAACTTCAATAACTGGAAGGCAGACTCCTGCGTCCATATTACAGCATTAACACAGAAGCATCGAGAGTTTGTGAATTTGATGCTTCATTTAGGGCTACAGAAGCCGGCTGATCAGTGTTATCGTTCCGCTGTGTTTACTCGGAAAATAGGAAAACAAACAGGGGATAGCAGTTTCCAAACCATGAAAGTGAAACTAATCACGATGACACAGACAGCACATTACAGGTGGAAAACTTAAGACAAAAGGTTAAATAAAGCACACCCACACACACCGTAATAATGCGACAGTAGGATACACACCGACCTGTTCTTTACGAGCCGCTGGAGTTGACAACGAAACAAGAAAACGTTGCACCGCCGCAGGACATCACAACACTCCAGTTACTTAGCTGACGTTAGCTCTGGAGGCTAGTTAGCATTCGGACTTTTCTAAGTAAAAAAATAACCTGCCAGAAAAAAAGTCGAGTTACGCTCTCATCGCCTCGTGAACCGGGTAAACAAACCCGAGATAACCTCTAATCTCGTTCGTTTTTATCAGACTGGATCTTCTTCATCAAAACAATGCCCCTTCACTTAGCTGTGCTATCGAATCGAGATCGAAAATGTACCCGCTAAACTCTGCTCAACATCAACGCCTCTGATTGGACGACAGATTCGTGACGATGAGTAATGCCATTTCCCATTGGACAGCTGCTGACGTGTACCGTTGATGTCAGTTTTTATTACTATTATTATTATTTCTTTGAATGTACTTAATTGACTTTATAAAGCTTCTTTAATTGTTTTACATTTAGTACTTTTATATTTTGAACTTTTATCGGATTTACCGTTATTTTGTGTTTAAGTTCAATGTGAGATTCAGAATGGTGAAGAAAGATGGTTTAAGCTACTTTCAACGTAGTAGGGGGTTATAGCCAGTCTGACTCTGAATATTTTAGAAAATGCTGATCTGCTTGGATTTTACCACACTGCTTTACCAAACTACACAGCAGAAGATTGGAAAAATGTTTTCTGCTCTGACAAGTCTTGATTTGTGCTGTAACATTCAGATGGTAGGATCAGAATTTAGAGTAAACAACATCAAAGTATGGATCATCCTGTCTGTCTACAGTTCGGGCTGGTGATGGGGTATAATTTTCCTGATGAACCTCAGGCTCCTTGTCACAAAGTATTGTTTAGACACCATAGGCTCCCTGAGTATTGTTGCTAACCATGTCCATCCCTTTGTTACCAGTGTACCCATTTTTAAATGGCTGGTTCCAGCAGACTTATGCACTATGTCATAAAGCTCAACACATTGCAAGCTGGTTTCTTGTACATGACGATAAGTTTACTGTACATGAATGGCCTCCACAGTCACCAAGTTGCAATCTAATAGAGCAATTCTGGGATGTAGCAGAACGAGAGAGACATGCCATGGACAGTGTGATGCTAAATGTAAATATGGACCAGAATCTCAAAAGAATATT